GTCTCGCCTTGTTGCCCAGACTGGTCTCAAACTCCTGGGCTCAAATAACCCTCCGACCTCAGCCTTCCAATGTGCTGGGATTATAGGCGTGAGTCACTGCGCCTGACCTAAAAATTTTTTCTATTTACTGCCAAATTGCTGTCCAGAAAGTCTGTAGTGGCTTATAGTCTTGCCAGCATTTTCCTCAGTCTTTCCAGGTCTTGAGTTGGACAGGTCACTGCCTACATACCACTCCCTAAGGCTCTTTGATTTCGTTGCTCTGTTAATTTTTTCAGGTGGGATAATTGTATTTTTTTTTTTTCCAAAAGTCTTTATCTTTCTGAGATAGATACTAAATATTTGTAGATGGAATGAATTAGGGGAAAAAAGGATAGGGTAGAATTTTTTTAAATCCCAAAACTTTGCTGAAAAGTGAAAGGAAAAGACAGCAGAACCCAGAAGTGCAGAAACAGATGAAGTTAATGGAGAACAGATTTTTTTATGTGACTGAGGGATAACCACAGCTGGACACTTGTGGGACACGCAGTCCTGCTCCCATGTAGTGTTAGAGGTCTGAGCTGACTCTGCTGCAGAGCCTGATGGGCTTCTTAGCCCTTTCCAGAATCTGCTTCTCTGTCTTAGAGTTCAGGCCTCTGTATCTCTCCTCTGGACCTGGGCTTTACTGGTCTGACTCTTGGGGACTTCTCTAACTCTCCTCCATGAGTATCCCCTGATCTCCTCTCCTGGGTGAGGAGGTGTCTGAACATCTGGCTTCAGGGCTTCCACAACTTCTGAAAATTGCTTTTCATTGTCTGGTTTGGTTTGGTAAAACCTGTTTTAAGTTCTTCCTTTTGTAGAGGTTTGAGTTTTTTATCAATAGCTCCAGGCTAGAATCTGGGCCTAGTCTCTGTATTATAATACCACCCACTTTCAACAGCCAGAAGAAGCCTCAGGCTCTTCCTTTTCTTAAGCCCTACCTCTCTGTCAGACCACCCACTGAGTTTCTGTTCTTTGATGCCTGTAGCTCCAGCTTGCATAAGACTTGCAGAGTAGTAATAGGAAGAGTTAACACTTTTTGTGGGTTTGCCAAGCACCAGACACACTACTAAATGCTGTCTGTTAAAACATATATAGCATCATCCTGTTGCCATCAGACAACTCCGGTGGCTCTTATTCTGAGATTAAAACAAGAGCAATCTAAGGCTCAGAGAGACTTAAGTAACTTTCTTTCTTATTTTTTTGAGATGGAGCTTTGCTCTTGTTGTCCAGGCTGTAGTGCAATGGCATGATCTCTGCTTACCACAACCTCCACCTCCCAGGTTCAAGAGATTCTCTTGCCTCAGCCTCCCAAGTAGCTGGGATTACAGGCATGTGCGTTCACGCCTGGCTAAATTTTTTTGTATTCTTAGTAGAGACAGGGTTTCGCCATGTTGGTCAGGCTGGTCTCGAACTCCAGACCTCAGGTAATCCACCTGCCTCGGCCTCCCACAGTGCTGGGATTACTAAGTAACTCTCTGAACATCAGAGTTAAATATCAGGGCTGAGATTCAACCTGAGTCTCTGACTCCACACCTTTAACCGTCGTACGCTTAGAAGTAACTGAGACGTTGCTCACCAAGCAGATAAGGCTTTTCCTGGCTTAGTTCCTCAGCTTCTCTTTGATGACTTTCTCAATTCTCTCTGTCCCAGAGAATACTTCTTAAAAAAGAAAAAAACCAGTATTGAGTACCTATTGGGCCCTGTCTAGCTTTCCTATCCCTTCTTTCACTATGGGTTTATATTACCACGTCATTCTTCTTAAAATTAAAACTCTCCTTTACCTAGTACTTAGAAGAAAATCCAAATTTTGGAATGTGGCTTAAAAAGGTCCTGCATGCTAGCCCTTACCTACATCCAGGATCTCATCTCTACTCTCCTCCATGCACAGTGCCCCAGCTGCCCTGGCCTCCTTGTTCTTACTGGAATATATCAGTCTCTTTCCATTTCATGACCTTTGTACTTGGTTTTCTTGCGTCTTGGAATGGCCTTCCTGAAGTCTTTGCCTAGCCAGCTCCTCCTCAGACTGTAGGTCTTATGTGCATAAGGTGTTATGTCCCTAATATTCGTCTCTGAAATTTTACCCTTTTCCTCCTGTCGCCTTCAGTCATATCACTTCATTTTATTAATTGTATTCTCCATCATCTGAAATTATCATATTTATTTGCTTTGTCAGTTATTCATCCATTTATTAGGTAAGCTTTTTTAATAGACAAACCTTGTCTGGCTTGTTATTCTCTACTGTATTGCTAAGGTTTATGACAGTGTCCGTACAGAGTAGTTCCTTAATGTTTATTTGATACATGAATGGGTGAATAGCAGTCTCTACCAAAAACAGGAGGCGTGGTTCTCAATGGGCCTGAGAAATGCCTTTGGAAGAGGGTGCTGGGAGAAGATTGGAACTTGGAGTGACATCTTGACCTCTCTCCCTTTGCTTTGCAGGCCAGAGGCACCCAATGAGTTCTATGATGGAGACCATGACAACGACAAGGAAAGCGATGTGGAGATTTAAGAGCGGCTTGGGATGCTGTGCCCCACGGGATTTCTTTTCGCCTCCTGGTTGGGCTGGAGGGAAAAGGAGTAGCTCCTACAGTCCTGGAGTGGTCACGCCAGGGCTTTTGCTGACTCTGGGAAAGAGTCTGGAGACCACATCTGGTTCTTGAACCATCAACCCCATTTCCTCTCTCTCCCAAGGCCTGACAATGGTACCTATTAGGGATGAGATATGGACAAGGATAACTATCTGGGACATTATTGGCAGTGGGCCCTGGAGGCCAGTCCCTAGCCCCTCTTGCCTCTTATTCCTTCCCTGTTTCCCTCCAACCCAGAGATTTTGAGGGATGAATGGTAGACAGGGACTGAGATTGCCTTGGACTTCCTCCTCCCCTTGCTTCCAGGGAAGGTGAAGAGAGAGGGATTTGGCAGGAGCTCTGGCTCCCTAACACCTGATTCTCAGATGATGGGAAGTATGTTTTCAAGTGTGGGGAGGATATGAAAATGTCCTGTTCTCACTTTTGGCTTTATGTCCATTTTGCCACTGTTTTTATCCAATAAACTAAGTATTTTTTGTACCTTTTGCCTTTCTAGGAATGTTAATTCTTTCTAGTTTCCTATTTATGAAGGGAGAGGGAAACGAACGTGATGATACATGTAATAAAAGCATAGTTAATATTCATTCAGCACTTACCCTATGTTAGGCCCTGAGTATGTATTCTATTTTGATTATTACATATATAAGGAGTCAATAGAGCATTTTGGTTAAGAGTTGGACAAACCTGGGCAGATTAAGAGAAGTAGATGACTTTGATTTTGAATCTGGTTGTTGAGAGTAGTGATGCTAGTTGGTGAAGATACACGGAGATAAAACATGTTAAGTGCTTAGCACAGTGCCTGACATAAGAAGTTGCCCATTACCTATGTGAACAACAATGCTAAGTACTGTTAGTAGCCACAAACATGGACCTTTCTCTGGAAGAGTTTACAATCCAGTCAGTAGTATGATAAATATTATAGCAGATATGGACTGGCATAAGAAAGAGGGTTGATCATTGGATCACTTTCTTCCCTCCATCCTCTGATTCTGTCTGTTCTCAACACTAGCTTTGAAAGTGTTGAGAATTTTTTGGACAAAAGGTCTGGAAAGCTCAGCACTAAGTCAAGTTTGAAGTATGGGATGGACAGCTCTATGTAACATTCTATCAGGTCACCGTTAGAAGCTCTGGACCACAAGAGAGATGAATGCCAAATTTCGGAGACAGCCAGTTTGGCAGAGTCCCTGGTATATCTCAGGCCCTTGACTAGGCACTGGGGCCCTAGAGTAAGTAGGTCACTGACTGTCCTTGAGGAACTTACACTTGAAATCTTGCTAGCTGTGGTCAAGAAGATGATTCAGTCCATATTGTGAAGGCCAACTGGTAGCCATATAACTGTCACACAGGGACAGATGTAGCTAGGAGAGTGGATGAAATTGCTCAGGGAGAAAGTCATGCTAGAAGAGCAAAGAATATACTTTTGGAGAATACCCATTCTTTCATGTTTGGTTTATGTCAGTAGGGAATCCTGGTTAAGCACAGGGCTTCGCAGCAAATCAGACTAAGCTGGGTTTAAGTTTTATATCAATTATGCCTTCTTGGGCAAGTCGCTTCAACTCTCAAAGTCCAAATTTACTTTTTATAAAATGGTGAGCCTAGCGGAATCTATCACATGGGACTGTGGGGACTTAGAAAAATACATGTAGAGTGTTTTGCATAGTGCCTAGAAGACAGCAAGGGCATGGTTAAGTGGTAACTGTTATTGCTTTTTAGGCACATGTTGGCAATAATTAGTTTGTCCAGTAGGAAATTAAACTCCAGAGCGAGTCTGGTTTAGTCCAGTGCTTGCACTGGCCCGAGCTCTGTTCTTGGTACATTGCTTTCAAAACGTGGTAGCTGTCACTTTCATAATTTTTTCATGTGTTCCATGGGTATTGCACACATTAAAAACTGCATTCTTATGCAAAGCCTGGCACTACTTTTCTGCCAGGATAATGGTCTCATGCGATTTTTGGTCTGGGGTGTGACAGGGTCCAAGCTGTCAGGCTTTTACAGCCACGTGGGCGCACCGTGGGAGCAGAGAGGCCTGCCCTGCTCCAACCGCTAGGGGGCGGTGCTCCCTGCCGCGACCGCGGAGAGCTGCACCGCCCACTCGCCACCCCGCGACGTGGGTCCGAATGGTTAGGTCCGCTGGGCAGGTAGCGCGCTTCCGCGGCTTCCCTCCACCCCTCTCCCTTCCCCCATTGGTAGGGGCTGCGGGTCCGGGCGGAAGTGGGGCAGGCGGGTGGGAGCGAGGCGTCATCGTTGTATATTCATGAGGCGCGCGCAGCCCGGCATGCTAATGAGGCGGGGCGCGGCGGCTGGCTAAAGAGTGCCTGGGCGGCGGCGGCGGGCGCTGAGCTGCCGGGCGGGAGCGGCGTAGGCGCGGGGTCACCGGCCAGCGTGAACCGGGACATGGAGCCACCCGGCGGGGGCCTGGGGCCCGGCCGTGGTACCCGGGACAAGAAGAAGGGCCGGAGCCCAGATGAGCTACCTTCGGCGGGCGGCGACGGCGGCAAATCTAAGAAATTTGTGAGTGTCCCTCCCACCTCGCTCCTGCCCAGCCCCGTAACCGCCTTCTGGACCCCTGCAGCCGGCCCCAGGGGCGCTTGCCCAGCTCTGGGGAGCCGCCCCCGCGCCTCCCTTCCTCATTTCGCTGGTCTGCGGCTCTGCAGCCCGACATCCTCCGCCTCCTGGACAGCGGGAAGCCCCGGAGGCTCACCCTGCTCCTGCCCTGGCCACCTCGGGGCTTCCCTAGTCTCCCAGCCCGCACGTCTGCTCTCCCGCCCCCATAGCCCCGGCCGGCCCTCAGCCCCATCTCTCCCCTCTCAGCCTCACTTCCTTTCTTCTTCCTCTAGTACCCGAACACGCCTCCTCTTTTTTGGTCCCCTCTTCTGGGTCCATTTTCTCTTCTTACTCTTACCCCTTTTTTGGTAGTCTCGTATTTCCTTCTCCTAAAGGTCACTTCCTTCCCCATGACTGATCCTTTTTACCTGCTAACTTTCGTCCCGCCCAGTCCCCCTGGGCCCTCAGCCCGGTGTCACCTGATAATTCTTCCCCTCAGGAATGTTACCTGACTTGAGCCCTACCCCCCCTCCTCGTTTGGACGTTTGTACTTGTGATTACAGGAATGGGTTCCTGCCTAGGTCTTACAGCCACTGGGGCATGACGTTTATTTGCTTAACAGTATTCCTCTATCCAGAGAACCTGTCTCTTTGCCCTGTTGCTTGTCACTTTTCAGAGGGTTAGAACGCTAAGCCCTTCTTGACCTAGGATGGTAATAAATCTCTCCTGTGGGAAGAAAGTTGGACTGCGAGTTCAAGAAGTTTGTAATTGAATTGCTTTTTATGCATTTCCCATGATAACCATCTCCTCAACTCCTTTTCTACTGCCTCTTGTTCCCCAAGGCGACTACTGGTATCCCTTTGCGTACCTCTAGAAGAGTAAGCTTTCCTCTAGTGCCAGTTACTTTCAATTCGGGTCTGAAGGAATATTGATATTCACGGAACTCTATCATATTTCCTTACCTTTTGCCCACATCAATGCCTCTCTCCAGGGAGCCGTTTGGTTGCTTTTTGCTGTAAAAGCTTTGGAAGATATGGGGCACTGTCCAGAAGAGGAAAAGTCTTGGATATTGATGATCGTTATAATAGCTAGTTATAGCTGTAGCTCTTTTGTCTCTTCCTCCAGGTATTTATGCCCTTAACCTAGTGTATCTTTCCACTAAACAAATGGCTTGTAACTGGTACCTCTTTCTGTTCGTCCTACCTCCCAACATTTTGACCCAGCTCCACAAATTTGGGAAGAAAACTGATAAAGTGATAGAAACTGGAAGAAAATGTTGTTTCATGACCTAGAGGGTTGAGATGTTAACCCTGGTGGGTTAGGTGTTTAATTCTAAACAGAATTAACATAGTGACTCATCTCTTCCTATTTCTAACAAGACCAAGTGCTCCTGGACTGCCCCCAGTGACATCTGAGCTGTCAGTAACCACCTGTTTTTATATGATGAACACCTTTTTTCCCCCCTAGAAATAATAAGGTTAAGAGTATTGACATCCCTTCCTTCTTTGGTGACTAAAAAAAAATTTCCCCCCCCCCCCCACCCACTCGGTTAGCTTTCCTTCCAAAACTTAAGTTCTAGGGCTCATATTCCTTCTATTTCGATATCTTTTTGTTTTGATTTTGTTTCCATGGGTACTGTTTGACCTTCCTCACCCGAATTCCAGCTATTGCTACTGATTTGTGGTGACCTCTGTGACTTGTTTTCCAGTCTTGAGTAGACTTTTCTATGTGTTTTATTTTATCTAACAGTTGTTTATTTCACAAATTGTGAAATCTCCTATGTGTGTGGTTCTGCAAGGTGAGAAGCCTGAGGAAGCTAAGCCTCTTTTTACCTGTCTTTTGGAATGTCCATGGAGTCTTCTGTATGCTTAGGGATTTGGCTCAGGGTTGTTGGTATTTGCTTTAGAGCGGGTGGAGCTGAACCAAGTTCTCTTTTCTTTCTGCGTTGTTAGTCTTAACCCTTAATCTGCTGAATTTTTAAAACTAGATAGCTCAGGTAATGAAAATTACATTAGTAGCTAGGAATTAGAAGGTTTCTAGGAAAGTAGTGCTGCTTAACCCTTGTATTGCCAAATGTAACCTATCTGAAGGCATCAGAATATTCTGTCTTACTCATTGCTCTTTTTATGAGAACTCTGTGGAAATGAAAGAGAAGGAGGAGCATTGCAATCCACTTCTCTTTATGTCTGTGTATGTATATGTGGGTGGGTGGAGTGGGTGAGATTTTTGGTGTGCTTTTGATACCAGTGGCTTAGTTTTCTTGAACTGTACGCTAAAACTGAACTCAAAGCTTTTTCGCCTACTCCACCTTTTCTAAAGTGTGTCCTCTGGAACTCCATTAAGAATGTACTTTATAAAACTGCACTGGTTTGGACTAAGTGTGCCCTAAGGTTGTTTGCATTTGAGGGGTTATAATTCCTTTAGCTGCTATGTACCTTTCCTGGCTTACGCAGGTTCTAAATATGGATTAACTGATGAGAACATAGAGCTCACAAATTGTCTAAGATCTGCTCTTACCCTCTGAGGCATCTTGTGTGGAAAGGAGATGGAGACTCAGTTTAAAAGTAGTTGGGCATCATCTTTTTTTTTTTTTTTTTTTGAAATGAATTCTCGTTCTGTTGCCCAGGCTGGAGTGCAGTGGCAGGATCTCGGCTCACTGCAACCTCTGCCTCCCAGGTTCAAGCAATTATCCTGTCTCAGTCTCTCGAGTAGCTGGGACTACAGGTGCCCGGCACCATGCACGGCTAATACTTGTATTTTTAGTACAGACAAGGTTTCACCATATTGGTCAGGCTGGTCTCAAACTCCTGACCTCAGGTGATTCCCCCCACCTCAGCTACCAAAGTGCTGGTGTGAGCCACCACACCTGGTGGGCATCATCTTTTAAAAACACATGATTGTTAGAGATGCTGACAGTGAGTGGCTGAAGCCAGGGCGCCTGGTATATTACCTCTTGGTTCTTCATGAGTCTGTCTTCTCCCAGACCATGCACATACCCCCTCTCCAGCATTATTCCTGTTCCTTTCAGAAGTCCTTAAGATGAACAGAGGGTTTTGACTTTTCAGCAGTGATGAATGTGGGTGTCAAATAGATTTCTGAAATATATGTAAGGAGAGTAAGTAGAACCGGGATGTTAGGAGGCTGGAGAGTATTCCTGCATTCAATAGACTTTATGTGCATTCTCATATAATTGAGAAATTGATGCATTCTAAGAGAGAATATTACTTCCTGATTTAGCTAGGAGCATAACTTTGTAAAACATGAATTTTGGTGTGGGAATAGAGAGAATCTTTTTTTTTTTTTTTTTTTTTTTTTTTTGAGAGGGAGTCTCTCTCTGTCCCAGGCTGGAGTGCAGTGGCACGATCTCTGGTCACTGCAACTTCTGTCTCCTGGGTTCAAGTGATTCTCCTGCCTCAGCCTCCTGAGTAGTTGGGATTATAGGCACATGCCACCAAGCCTGGCTGATTTTTGTATTTTAAGTAGAGACAGGGTTTTACCATGTTGACCCAGGCTGGTCTCGAACTCTTGACCTCATGATCCGCTGGCCTGGGCCTCCCAAAGTGCTGGGATTATAGGCGAGAGCCACCACGCCCGGCCAAGAGAATAGTTTTAAAAATTTTGTTTAATTTTGGATGCCTATATTGAATTATTGTCATGTTGCAGTTACACATGACAATAATTCTAAACACAAAGTAATAGAGTGTCAACGTTTCGTTTTATACCCCTATCCAAAAGGAGAGCAAGTAAAGGTAAAGGATGCCAGGTGTTTTTTTTTAGACAGAGTCTTGCTCTGTCTCCCAGGCTGGAGTGCAGTGGCTCGGTCTCGGCTCACTGCAACCTCCGACTCCCAGGTTCAAGCGATTCTCCTGCCTCAGCCTCCTGAGTAGCTGCGATTATAGGTGCCTGCCGCTATGCTTGGCTAAATTTTGTGTTTTTAGTAGAGATGAGTTTCACCATGTTGGCCAGGCTGGTCTTGAACTCCTGACCTCAGGTGATCCACCTGCCTCGGCCTCCCAGAGTCCTGGGATTACAGGCGTGAGCCACTGCTCCTGGCTCCAGGTGGAATTTTAAGCAAATATTAGGAAACAGAACATGGAAGAAGTAGAGTTGTTTGTGCAGACTTCTGCTTATATTGCCTTAAAGAAAACATTAATTTTAATCCAAAAGTTTGCAGAAAACTGAAAAATATACAGAGAACTTTGTACACACTTTTTAAAAACAGATGATAAATGCAAGGATTATTTGGTTTGCAAATAGGGAGGAGAGCCTACAGGAATGTTAGTGAGATGTTTGAGATGACAGAATGATAGCTTAAACATTTCTGCTATTCTTCCTGCTTTGTCTTAAAGACAGACCATGACTCTACTTGATATGATTACCTGTACTTTCTCAAAGAAAATTCTCCCTTACAGAAGGTGAAAGTGAGGGAATGCCTTAGGATTAAAATCTCTGCCTTGGGAGAGTTGGTAAATGTTGGGATAATTTTTTTTTTTTAAAAAGAGCTGAAATTTTCATGACCTGTAAATTATATTTTATTATGAAAGCTAGGAAAATAGTGAGACAAGATTTAATTTTGTTGATGGGTGCATGGGTCAGAATAGACTAATTTTATTTCCTGTGTTGTAGAATAACCTTTTGTTATTGCCCAGGGCCCTTGGTGTTTTATAAATGTATTGCCAGTTTATTCTTGGGGAGTGTTATCTTCAGTGAAATGTAATAGAGATTTAAAAGATAAAGTTATATGTCACATATGATTTAGAAGAACAGGTTAAAATAATTTTTATTGATAAATACTAGATGTTATAGAGAAGCAAGGAGTTTGTATATGCAGGTGTATATATCCTACTTTCTGTCTCAGTAGCTGAAACATTCGTGGCTACAAAAAACCATCTCCATTTTGAAACAAACTTAGTGTTACTTAAGTGTTTTTTTTTTGTTATTGTTGTTGAGCCTCCTATTCTTAATTA